GTGGGCGGTGGGATTAAGGTTGGGCAAATCTGAAACTGCAGTTCACCTCAGCTGGGGTGGAGATATCTTTTGGGAAGCAAGGGCGTAAAATTCAATGTAAACGTAAAGCCTACTCATATCATTGTGGAAAAATTCAACGACTAATCCTTCATCACCTTAAACGAAATAGCGTGAATACGTCCCATATTTGATCTAGTGGTAGTCTCAAAAACCTAATTATCATAAAAAAATAACCTGTTGTTGCCTGCAACCCCATTTGCAAAACAATGTAATGTACACTTCTCAAATCAACGTTATTTCATGTTAAGGATCCTGATCTCACTAGGTTTCAAAATATCGCTTTTGGTGACATCAGCATTTTCGATAATGACAGAATAATGCAGATCTTACAGGGTGCCGGAATTTGAGAAACTTTCTTGCTTCTCATATTTGGCCTAAAAATCTAAACTAAAGGTGTTTATTTAATTAGGTTTGTGGCTTGTATAGGCTCGCTTATTCGAAAGGGATGACCACACTAAATAATTCTCGAACTTTGCCTCAAGACTTGGACTATGAACATGGCTTTATCTGTATTCTATGCTGAGTTTTGTACATCAACATCAAACAAAGTTTAATTGCATCGAAGGTATGAATACCAAGATGGTGTGGCCTTTTGTATGGTAGCGGTCTTCTTTCGTTGTGTAGTAGTTGGCAGGAAGACCTAATGGAACTCACCTTGTCCGAAGTCCATAGTATGAATGCTAATTTCCATATTCGGACCGTGGATTTAGTACATGTTGAGGTGTTTCATCGGCATCGTCAGTGAGCCCTTTCAGTCTTAGCACCACTCTCAGCTACAGCTCGTCAAATAGACAAACTAAATCGATCTTTTAACCAATTGTTTGCTAAATAATTGTAGTATCTCTTCTGTCCTAATGCACTCATCTATTATATATCTTCTGGTATGTCCTTTTGAGCGGATTTCATCAGACCTATTTACACTTCTCACTGCCTTTCTCACCCCCTACCCTTGTGCTGGGAATCTTGATCTGAGTCTGCCCTATTAGTCCGAAATCCTCACCCCTTAGATCATATCAGAGTGTCTCTCGCTGTGTAGGATCCGTCCCCTATCTCCCTGGCTCAGATATTTCATTGGGCCACTGCCACCCTGTCTGTGTTACTCGAGGCGTTATTTCCCACACACCACATCAAGCCTTTGATGGCACGTTTATCCCTGCCCCACTGAGCAGGCCCATATAGTCAGGATTTTCAAGCTCTATTAGAAAGGTAACTTAAGGCTATAGATCGCCTTATTACTGTTCCGCATATGAAACAGATAATTATCACGCTTAAGCCTTTGCTTCATGGATCTCGTCTATGCTCAAACACGTCTACTGTTAGCCAACTAACTCTACTCTCCGCCGCATCTAGTCGTCTTCATTTTGCTGATCTTCTTCTTCCCTTATCTACACCTAGTTCGCTAATCCTGCCTTCTTACAGTCTCCTGTATATTAGATCTTTTACAGTCAAGTTGTCTCGAAACCCTACTTTTTAAAGAAAAATAAATGAGCATTTGCGTGCACCGATCATAGGGTTCTTTAACCTGAATTAAACTTTGAAATATACTATAGGACAGTCGCTAAACCAAAGTACTGTTTCCTGAGTAAGCTTAAAGGAATGAGGAAAAATGGTTTAACATTGGTCCAAATAGTCACACGCTGAATTATTAATATTTTATGCATTTTTTGAACCAGTAGCGCCTTGAAGGAAATATTTCTTATACTCCATGAGGCGTCCTGCATTTCAATGTGATGGCGAGAGAAGTTGAGCTACAAGAGAAGAGCAAAAATATAATGTTGTAAAATGAGTATACATCCATTTATTTAATAGATGGCAAATTTTCAGTATGCAAACTGCGTATGATCTTAGTGAGGCAGTCTCATATAAATTCTTTATTCTGCTGAATAAGGGTTATTTTTGGCATTATAGCTCTTTCAATTAAACCGCCTTTTCAAATTATATTTAACTGGTTCGGCCTTGCACACATCGGGATATCCTTTTCTTGCATACTCGTCCCTTTTTACCGGCTTCCAAAGAATCTCACGTGTTATTTATTTTTTCATTTCTTTCACGATAATTATTTGTTCTGATGTTTTGGATCGCACGGTCTTTCTTCGCCAGCATAGTCGAAAAGCTGGGTGATCAATCCTTATTTGTCTGGATTTCGCTCTAGCCAAATAGATCCTAGTGATTAGCTGGTGATTCTTTCTTGTGACATTAGCAAGCCGGTTTATTACATGGGACTTGATCATGTATAATTTGTTCGGCGTTAATCTACCCTTGTTCTTTTCGCAATTTTTTCCACCTTTACGCAGACCAGCAAGGCCGGAATCACTGGTCTGGTCAATACAGTCTACCGGTCTGTAACCTCCTTCCTTTCGCCAGAGGACCGCGGCCGGATGATCGCTCACGTGACTCGCCACGCCAATATCCAATTCTGCAAGACCTTTTGGGGACTGGCAGAACATCGACTCCTCACAGAAGCGCCAAACCTACTTTTGCCCAGCCTAGCAGTTGTACATGCCTTCCAGCTCCCCCCAGTACCCTTGCGGCTGTCACTCTGTCGTGGCCGCATCACTCAACGGCAAGGAGGTGATCGCCTCGAGCAAAGCAGTGTCTCATCATACGACTCGGTGGTGTCAGTTATGATCCCCGATATCGACTTGTCTGTCGCCTCTGCTATTTCTCTTGGCGAGTCAGCTGATCGCCAAAGCTCTTGCCATACTAAAGTTGTGAAGTCTCAGAGGCAGGCCATACACCATGGACATCGGGTTTCCATTACTGTTGGTCTCCATTAGCTGTTGGTTATTCTAGCTAGCTTCCCTCTATTGCGCCTGATAACAGCGTTT